CACAGCCATCGTTTTCATCTGGAGGTCTTTGGCTTGCTCAGTGCGTGTTGAGTTTAATATTACATGCATTGCTTCAGTAGTTCATTCCGTTCCCAGACACAGTACAGGAGCCGCAATGCTGCAGAACACAGGGTGAGTTTGTCTCATTCTTGCTGCTTAGCCCGTGTGTTTTGGTGTGGGTACACGTTAATAAACCAAGTTGTTGTTTACTGGTATTAAAATACTTGTTTTATAAGTATGAACTCGTTCATGCGCAATATTAGCTGTCTTTTGAATGACCTAAGAGGGCTGGACTGTGTTGTCAAACTTTGCAGCCAACATAGCTAATTTAACTGCAATCTATTCAAACTGACTTGGCATTTCAGCACATTATAGAAACATATTTCCTGTTACTATAGTATGTTTATAGTTTTATGTATTATGTATATTTTTAAAACTTTTTTAAAATTTCACCTTTACCCCGATTTCCAATGCGCAGGTATCAATTGAAGGAATGCCAACGCAAACAATGCGATTAACATTGTTACACAGCGCTGCTCACAAAGACTGGGACTTTGATGACACACAGTGACAGTATAAATACAAGGAAATTACCAAACAATTATATTTTAATTAGAGAGAGAGCCACACATATAAAGGTCAAATGAATGAAAATGAAAATAGGGCCATAAATGTTGTTTTCATAAATATCTGACAATGCTGTCATTCACACAATGATGAAACAACTTAAAAAAAAATCTCAGATTAATTTCAGCCGATGCTGTTTTTTAAAATAAATGGCAGGTAAAAGTGTGTAGGTGGGGGGAGTGAATGTACAGCGCTCTCTTCCACCTTCAATACCACGACTGAGGTGCCCTTGAGCAAGGCACCGAACCCCCAACTGCTCCCCGGGCGCCGCAGCAAAAAATGGCTGCCCACTGCTCCGGGTGTGTGTTCACGGTGTGTGTGTGTTTTCACTGCTGTGTGTGTGCACTTTGGATGGGATAAATGCAGAGCACTAATTCACCACAGGAGAAGACCCTGGCCTTGAATAGACAAATACAGTAATTAATAAAGTATTTGTTGTTTTATTTATGTCACTTATTCCTTATTTGTGTGTTTCCTTTTCCACTCGCCAATGTTTTTGTTGTTCGCTGAGTATATCTTTTATCGCATTATTTTTTGTATGTTCCTTTAAAACAGTAGCGCGTTCACGACTCCACCGGAAGTAGAGTGAATGATGGCTCGGTGGAATCTGTGACTAGAGTAAAGGGCAAATGCACAGCCATCGTTTTCATCTGGAGGTCTTTGGCTTGCTCAGTGCGTGTTGAGTTTAATATTACATGCATTGCTTCAGTAGTTCATTCCGTTCCCAGACACAGTACAGGAGCCGCAATGCTGCAGAACACAGGGTGAGTTTGTCTCATTCTTGCTGCTTAGCCCGTGTGTTTTGGTGTGGGTACACGTTAATAAACCAAGTTGTTGTTTACTGGTATTAAAATACTTGTTTTATAAGTATGAACTCGTTCATGCGCAATATTAGCTGTCTTTTGAATGACCTAAGAGGGCTGGACTGTGTTGTCAAACTTTGCAGCCAACATAGCTAATTTAACTGCAATCTATTCAAACTGACTTGGCATTTCAGCACATTATAGAAACATATTTCCTGTTACTATAGTATGTTTATAGTTTGATGTATTATGTATTATGTATATTTTTAAAACTTTTTTAAAATTTCACCTTTACCCCGATTTCCAATGCGCAGGTATCAATTGAAGGAATGCCAACGCAAACAATGCGATTAACATTGTTACACAGCGCTGCTCACAAAGACTGGGACTTTGATGACACACAGTGACAGTATA